TTTTTTTTAAGCAGCCGTATATGAGAGTTAGACATATACAGCGGAAATACGGTCCAAAAATTACAGCATCCTAGCTTCACTGGTTGCTAATTTGAAAGTGGATGACAGTATCCGAATACAATCACACATACAACCTCTTGACAGTATACATTTTACACTGCATCAAATATGCAAAAATGTATAAAAGCGGTGGTAATGACAGCAGTGTCTTCAACTACAGGGCTGCAAACTTCGACCTATATCACTCTTGAGAAGAATATTACACTTTTGCTTTCGAGAACACAGAGGAAAAGCAACCTTAGTTCGTCGTGGATAATTCGTTGATACAAAAAGCATGTGAGGAAGAGAAGGGGAAAACAGCAGAAAAATGTAAACGTCCCTTGCAACACTGTCCAACAAGCAAATGTGAACCATTCGCAGAAATAATTCGGATGACGACAAAGACCCCACCAACCACTACCTACAATATCAGTGTTGCAAAAGAAAACCGGGTTTTAAAGGGAATTATAAAGTGCGTTAAAGGGAGTTAGTTTGTAGGACTGAAAGGAAATCCAGAATTTAGAGTAAAAAAGCATCTAAACAGGCATTATCGGCGATAGCTGTGAGCTGAAAAAATGCTGTGTTTCCTTTCAATTCTCTGCATTAAGTGCTCTGTGAAGTTTACCACATGCTCAGGTAATTTAGCATACCCAACTAAATTTGAATTGCTTTTGGATTACTTACAAAGTTTCCCGTTTTGTCAAATATTTTATTTACTCTGAACAACTTAAGGTTCCCTCGGAGGCGAAAGAAACAGAAACTTCTCTGAAGTTATCGTAAATTTTTTATCACACCGCGCAGATTTTTAAATCCAGGCTGCGGCGCACCAAGCCTACCAGTGCGACCATGCGTTTTTCAACTAAACTTGCAACAGTTGGGTCAGTAACAGCATGAATTATTCCTGCGTTAGAATTTAACACGTGAACTCATGTTGCCTGTGTTTTGGCGTTTTCTTGTATGCAGTGGAAAAGGACGTTGGCTAAGATGGTAGTGTTGAATTATGGGGCTATGTGAACCTCTAGCATGCACGGCTGTTAATTCTGCATGAAAAGAGATGAATAGTTCCCGGCAATCGGTCGTCCATCGAAAAATGCAAATTTTAAGATGAAAAGGATATCCACAGAGAGGACAACAAAATCCGCAAAATGCATTTGCTTTTGAGGTGGCGGTAAAACTGAGTCTTTATCATGTCAGTGCGCACGGAATTTAGCCTTCGAGCTGAATTATGACCACACGTGAGTACAGAATATCCCTGCAGTGTTTCAGCTTAGCAGCTTCTCTGGTAAGTGAAATCACCACTTCGCTACAATAACTTTGACGTACCTTAAGTCGTGGCGCAAGTGCAAACAGGAACTCGATCTAGGTATGCGATTTCGCAGATGAATGAAAAATATTTGAGCAGAATTACAGCTATTGCTTTTTGGCTAGTTTTTGAGCTGGACGGTGCTAACTTTGAACTTTAATGTGACTGTACGCGTGATGCAGGTGTGCGCTATGGCTGAATTTGAAATGTTTAGGAATACTCAAGCACACAGAATCATTATGAAATTTAAGGTTTCTAGCTTGTCTGTTTGTCGAAATCGTTTTCCCGCCAAAAAATTTGCATTTTTTCCTTAGCGTTTGTACAAAAGATTCAGGCGTGTGTGATTTCAGGTTGTAACAATAACATGTGTAATGGGAATATGCTCGCAAAATTTTAGCCTCCAGAGATGAAAATGGACGACAAAGTTCACTCTTTTCTCCCCTTACCACATACACACACAACTTCTTGACAATACGCGCTTTTGCACTTGCGTAATATGCAAAAACACTAAAAAATGGAAAAAAACATTTACAAATTTGCTTCTCGTGTTTTATTCAGAACTAGTCAAAAACCGCTTCCTAATTCTCTGTCCGTGACAGGCGGAAGTGAACCACCATCCGCTGGCAAGATCGTCGATAGTTCATTCAGTCCGAGGATTTCTTAGAGGCAGCTAATAGTGGGGCTGACCTACCAACACTCTAGCAGCAATTTATCGTGAGAACGAGTGAGTACATAGTAAATCGGCATCAATACACAGGAACCAGCTTCTTTAAGCCCAAAACGTCTCAATGGAAAAATCGGAAAACAAAAAACAAAAGCCGCCAAATCGGTCACTGTGTCACCAAAATGCCTCAAGCAGGATCCTAGTAATGTCAGATAGGTCACTGGTAAGATAGTGTGCCTACAAAAAGCGCCACATACTGTTACTGAAATGCGCAAAATTTCTAAAAAGGTTGGAAGATAATTTTTAGAAAATGCAAACCCAACAACAAATTAGCGCCAATTTCACCATTATTACGGCGATATTTTGCAGTGATAAAAAACGGATCTCTTCCCCAGATTTTCATATTTCCGTTGGTAAGCCGAAACCGAACACGCTGCTGATCGATGTCCGCTGTAACATATACCGTCAGAATGCCAATAAATAGTAACGCTGCACTGACTGGTAGTGGAAAGAAAGCTTTCCGTTGCGCAAGCACTGTAAGCGGCATAGCGTAAAGTGCCGGGATCAGCACCAACGTGCACCATACACAGTAAAATCCTGAAAGCAAATAAGTACAGGTCAACTAGAAGAGCTAAGCGCATCATAAATCCGTGACATGAATTTTTCTAGTCGTGGGAAAAAACACACACAGTATTGAGTGGTCAGACTCAAATACATGCAACTTTCGAACGTAAGATCACATATTTGTGCCAGGCTTAGCATTTTATGAAACAGAGCTAAATTTTGAAAGAGTTGTATTAAACGCACATTGCCAATAAGGTGGTGTGAGGGAGTGACGGAAGAAGAAAGGAAG